GAGTGCCCTCTCTATCCCGTGTTTCCACCAAATCGGTCTATGACGGGTTCGGCCTTCCCTCAGTGTTGCGAACCTTTCTGTGAGGCTAGTTTATCCTCTTTTAACTACTTCCCACCTATCCTGCACAGTGCACTCCGGGAACGTCGGGTACCAGCTGATGGTATTTGCAGCTTGTGCCAGTTCAATGTGGTTTATGCGACTACAGAGACGCATAAGAGTAGGTCCGTGCCTACGGTGGATAACCATTACTCTAAAGCGAAGAACTTCGTGGTCACTTTTGCCCAGTGGTTCTTGCATGTTTAAACTAGTTATGTCCGAGGAGTGCCTTGTGATAACTAGGTCTAGCAGCGAGGGACGCTGTTTTCCTCTCTGTCTCGTTGCTTTTGTAACATGCTGTGAAAGAGCTCTATCCTGTAGCCACTTCAGCAGCCGTTCCCCTTGAGACCCTGCACTCGTGGATCCATGTGCCCAGGACATCTCCGGCAAGTTGAAGTCCCTTACACGAGAAACCTCTGGTAGCTAGCCAGGGTATTTTGCATAACCCGCAAAAGCTCTGTATCTTTCCATGGAATAGCAGTTCAGTGTAGTTCAGTTCCGGGACGGTGACGGCTGTGTGCCAGTTAGTCCAGTTGCTTGCGGTGGTGGGCTTCAGGGATCCCCCGATGCAGCGACAGATAGCCTAACCTGAGGTACGTTCGCGCGCGGTTTGAAATTTTGAAGTGCTCTCGTTGAAAATCATTTTGGTACTATTTCCGTGGAATATCTTACGATAGTTCACATTTTACTCACAGGAAATTCTTCTTAGCGTGTGTTTAGTACATTTACTACCACCTCTTAAAAGTGCGCACTACATATAGAGCGTTAGATCTTGATATTTCTTTCTACAGTGAGCGTATAGCGTTTTTTGAAGTTTTCCAGGTGCGGTAACCTGTTTTTCTTTACGTTTATCATCGTTCGTTTTGGAGATGCCCCGAGCAGCGTTTTCATTTTTAAGTGTTATTTGTGGGAAGCGCGTGAAAGGTATAGAAAGCCATGTGTGCCAGAATACTACACGTTCCATTGTCATAGCGCAGGGTTATAAGGGGTTTTTCCTCGTTGCTTTCGAGCGGCCGAAAACGCGCTGGTTACTGCATGATCATAGGTAGCCTCAGCACAGCGCACACTAGTAGCAGTGCAGGGTGATGCACCTGTCACCCGAGACAGAGTGAGGATGTACGCCGAAGTTTCAGCCACGATAAAAGGAAAAAACGTATATAGATGTTCCGGCTCTGACTAAGGGTGTTGTTCTGAAAACGCCGAACCCGGACCCTTAAGCCAGAAAGAGTCATCAGCATAAGCGCCGGGTTGTAGACAAAAAGCCCCAGGTTGTTAAATCAGGAATACAAAGGAACTAAGTACAGAACGACCGCACAGGTACATTCAACTCCCTGGAAGTGCACTTGCGCGAAGTTCAGGCGAACCTAAAGGTCTTGAAAAGAAAGGCACACGTAGCGGGATTTAGACAAAAGACGGTCTCCATTTTGAACGGTGAAGAACCGTTCATAACAGAATCCAGAGCCCGTCGAGAAATGGACCGGATAAGAGTCTGGTATGTACTACGGACAGCTGGTATGCCACCCGTTAGCATAAGGAGGATACACGGGGTGCGTATATGGAAGAACCCGGAGCCAGCGGGATTTGGCATGGCCAGAACCCTACTTGTTGAGTTCGTGGAACCAACTTGCAGAGGTAAATTGCTTGCAAAATCCCAGAGAATTCTGAATGTTACCTGTAGGGAGTCTAAAGTAGTGCCTGAAATTTCCAGGAGTCCGAACATATGGAACCGAACGGCAACGTATGGCCGGTTGAGCGGAAGCCAATGAACCCCCAACTTAAGAAAAAGGGTCCATAGCAGATGTGGGTGGGTAGACTGTCCCATATCGTATTCATGGAGGATCTGTTAGAAAATGAGCAGTGGCAAAGTTGCTTACAGCCGAAGTCGGAGGTGAGGAAAGCGATGGATCCGTAGATGGCTCCGGGTCTACTACACCGCTCAGGAAGACCTCAACACCCACCGAGGTGAACTCGGCCTTAGGGCGTAGAACAGGTACATTTAAAGAGCAACTTATAGACACGTCAAAAAACTTGTTGTTCCCTCGGGTGCTGAGTCCGAGGGTCACGCGAAAATAAAAAATTAAGAGTCCGGAGGGAGTTGGACCTACGGAACGGTAGAGTTGTGGTATTATGTACAGATGTATGCAGTATAAGGAATCAACGGGGAGGACCCCTAAACATGGCATATTAAACACAAAGCGACTGTAGTAACCGTCTCAGAATCATGGCTCTTTAGTTACGACCATGTTCCGGCAATGGCTCGTGATGCCTATGAGGTTTACAGACAAGATCGGAGTCTACAGCCGCAGGGTGGGGGAGTACTCATATTAGTTAGCAGGGATATCCAACAAGTTCGGTTGGATATTCAAGTCTACGCGAGCAACATACTGATGTGTCTAGTCACCATCACCGCCGAGGGGCACAAATCCAACATAGAAAGTGTATACAGTAATCCCAGTGCGATGGAAACGGGGGACAAGCAGCTCCGATCAGCACTGGACATCCTAGCATGAATGCCTCATAAGCTGGTATTACTGGAGGACTTCAACTTATTAGGTATAAAATGGAATATTGGCAGTTTTTCGAATGATATAAAGGGGCAGGGTTTTATAGATTGGCTGCATCTCAAAGCAATGCACCAGCACGTTACAGAAAATGCGCGTTTTAGGTTGGGACAGTAACCGTCTGTGCTGGACCTTGTTATTACACGGTACGGTAAGGATGTGCGGAAATTGGGTTACTACCCACAAACAGGAAAGAGCACCCACGTGGTCATTAAGTTTTCACTAGAAACAAGGCTACCGAAACCACATGGATGCCAAGTGCGCTGCTTCGGAAAATTAGATGTTAATGGACTGCAAAGGAAAGCTGTTGAGCTCATCCGGCAGCCAGCCGAAGATAGGGTTGTAGGGGAGGATGTGTGGAGAATAATTAGGGAGAACTTACTTGAATTGCAGGATGAGCACGCCTCTCTGAAACCTCGGAAGTCATTCGGTAAACCATCTTGGTGGAAGTCTTCCATTGGACGGGCAATACACCGTCATAACGCCAGCTGGAAACGATACCGGGAGGTAGGATCGCAGCTGTCTTGAATGCGTTACGTAGGACACAAGAACGATGCTGTTCGCGTTGTTAGAAGCAAAAAGCGAAAATACGAACTACATCTAGCGCAAAATGCGAAGGCAAAGCCCAAGAGGTATTATAGTTACGTGCAGTTAAACAGGGTGCTCGGGGATGAAATAGGTGCCATGAACCTGGAGGGCGATAAAATAGTCACAACTGACCAGGAGAAGGCCATAGTACTAGGGAGATCCTTTGGAAGTGTGCTCAGGGAGGATAGAGGGTGGCTCATCCCATCTGAAGGGGGTCAAATGATGCAGAATATTGAGGACCTAGTAGTGACACCAGAGGAGGTGCGCAAGATTCTGTCAGAACTCAACGTATACGAAGCACCTGGGATAGTCGGGATTCATCCAGCCATCCTTAAACCACTAGCGGATGTCGTTGCTACAGCCGTGAGCCTGCTCTTCCAAGCGTCACTAGCGAAAGGAGTTTGGCATAGTGACTGAAAGACAGCTACTGTGATAGTACTTGACAAAGGTGGTCAGAAGTCCGAAATAAGAAACTATAGACCAATAAGCCTAACCAGTATCGTCTGCAAATGCATAGAGAAACTGATTAGGGAAGATGTATGACGACATCTACTGCGTTACATCCTACTAAGTGGGTTGCGGCACGGATTCTTAAAACATAGATCTTGTCTCACTAACCTTCTGTGCTACCTGGATGAAGTCACAGAAATGCTGGATGAGGGCCATACCATTGAGGTTGGCTACCTCGATTTTAGCAAACCTTTTGGTTCTGTGAACCACAGATTTCTCCTTCACAAAATCAAAAGCTTTGGCTAGGAGGTAATCTGCATAAGTAGTTAACCGCTTTCCTCAAAAATGGAACCTTCGCTGTGAGAGTAGGGGAGACCAGTTCTCAGATCATTCGATTGACCAGTGGAGTGTCTCCAGGTTCGGTTCTCGGACCGTTACTCTTCCTCTTATTCATCAATGACTAAGCGGGGTTAACGAATTCACCTTGTTTCATCTTCGCGGATGACGTCAAGGTGGTGGGATTGAGTGGCAGGGCTAACCTAACAAGGGACATTAAACGTGCGGTTGAGTGGTCAGACAAGTGGGACTTGGCACTGAATGCGGCCAAATGTCAATTATTGTCCAAGCAAAAGGATCTATTAGTTGCTGTCGGTACGTGGAGAGTATTCGAAGGAAAACCGGTGGAAACTCCCAAGAATCTTCGGGTAGTAATGACTTCCGATCTCAGCTGTGGCAGCCAATGCAAAATCGCAGCGCGCAAGGCACGAGGAGAACTCTCCCGACTCAGATCTGCTCTATCTTGCAGAAAACCGGAAATATTTGTCCCGTTGTACAAAAGCAATAATAAAGCCCCAACTAGAATACTGTGTCCAATCCTGGGCATCCCTGCACAAAAAAGACGCCACCTGCCTGGATAAAGTGCAGATAATACCTACAAGAATTGTAGAGAGGCAGAGAGGTAAATCAAACCAGGAAAGATTAAGGGACCCGATCTATTTTTGCTAGAAAGAAGGCGAATTAGAGGAGACCTCAAAG